TGTGGGGCTGTCTTGGCAAACCAAGATGTGTAATTTTAATATCATCGGTGACTCTCAAACCTCCTTTATCTTTAATCTTAACCTCACTTTCATATATAGGTGTGATTTCAAGTATTTTTAACATATAAGTCAATGTTCAGATTTATGACCATCAACACCTATATCTCCTGCTTGCATCTTAAGCTCAAGGTACCCCAAAATAAGCTCATGATATAGGAACACACACACACACACACACACACACGTACACACACACCATCCCCTTCCCCCTTCCTCCTTCTCTATTTCTAATTCAAATATTCTAACAGCCTGCTATATGTTATGTAATATTTTAGGTACTGAAAAATATGCCAGTGACTAAAATGGAATAATCTCAGCTTTTATGAAATTTCAGTCCTAGGAGGTTAGGTAGAAAAATACCCCAAACCTTGATGAATATATACAATGTCAAATAAAGATAAGTTCTATGGGAAAAATGAATAGAAAAAAACTAATGCTGACTGATTGGACGAAAATCATTTTATAAGACAGAGAAGTATATTTTATATATACTTTTAATTATATCTCAAATATATAATATCTCAATATTATATCTCAAATGACATGAGATATAAACTAGACCGTGGCATAGCTCCCTATCAGTGAGTTAGACTTGAAACTTTGAAGTTGTTTCAACTTCTTATTTTTCCTCAAATATATATTTAATGAATCCCCAATTTTGACAAAATGAGCGACTGAAATATTACCTCTGACTTGTATTCTTGATGGACCATTGGAAAAGAATGAGTTTTTTTTTCTTTGCCATCTCAAGAATGCAAATTACCCTTTTAAAAAATTTACTGTATGTGATAACACTTAGCATGATATCTACCTTCTTAAATTTTTTTAAAGCTTTATTTATTTATTTTAGAGAGAGAGAGAGCACACACACAAGCAAGGGGAGGGGCAGAGGGAAAAAAATCTCAAGCCGACTCCCTATTGAGCCTACTTGGACTCAAACTTACCACCTGGAGATCATGACCTGAACAGAAACCAAGAATTGGACGCTTAACTAATGATTGAGCCACCCAGGAGCCCCTACGCTTTAAAATTTTTAAGTATATAATTCATTATTGTTGATTGTAGGTACAACGTTGTACAGCAGATCTCTAGAACTTACTCATCTTGTTTGGCTAAAACTTTATGTCTGTGATTAGTGATTCTCATTTTCCCTTCTCTCCAGCTCCTGACAACTGTTATTCTATTCTTTGATTCTACTGATTTGACTATTTTATATACCTTAAATAATTAAAATCATGCAGTATTTGATATTCTGTGACTAGCTTATTTCACTTAGCATAATGTCCTCAAGGTTTATCCATGTTGTAGCAAAAATTAAAAAAAGAACTACCAAATGATCCAGTAATCCTACTTCTAGGTATTTTCCAAAAGAATTAAAATCAGGATCTCAAAAAAATATTAGCACTACTATGTTTATTGCAGTACTAGTCACAATAACCAAAATGTAGAAACAATCTAAATATCCACTGACAGATGAATGGATAAAGAAAACGTGGTAAAAACATACAATGGAATACTACTCAGCCTTTAAAAAAACTCTGCAATATGCAAAAAAACCTGTACTCTCTGAAAGGTTAGTTGCAATGTGGAATTGCAAACCCCATCAACACATTCTTCATACTTTTGTAAATTAAAATCCATTTGTCTATCTTGCACTTTGAATGGATATTTTGCCTATGCATAATTTTTTAACATCATGCTTCGGTCATTTGGGAAATGTTACTTTAGAGAGCTATTTAGATCTTCCAAACACTGATACCTGTCATTGTACAATACTGAAAGGTCACTTTTGTTAATATCACCATTAAGCTCATCAAAAAATCATTACATATTGGGCAAACAATTTTTCTCAAAATTCTAATTTTGACTTAAAAGTTCAAAATCTATCATTGATGACAAATACTCTCAGTTGTTTTCCTCAATATGCTAGCCTCATTTCCTTTATTTTTGAGAAAATGGTCTGCCATATGTAATAACCATAGTTTACCAGTCTTTTTTTTTCAAGAAAAAGTGTTTCACAAAAAAACCCCCACAAACTTGATTTAACTTGCAAGTCAATCACCCCAGTTCTCTTCCTTAAAAGAATCAGCATAATACAGTATGCAGTAGAGGCACTTTATATGTGCCTTTTAACACAGAGAATATTAAAAGGACATTTATATAAGGGTTAAAATTTAATAAAATTATAATCGTTACTGCCTCATCCAGGATCGTGGATATTCTTTAAAATTGGCATTGTTATTCCTGCACTTTACTGACAGGATATGTCAGTAAAGAATACAATAACCACCCACACAGTTTGTGGCCACTGTCTGTAATTATGCTAAAGCACTTGAAGTTTTACACTCCTATTGTTTTTTCACCATCTGGGCTAACGTCAACACGATGAAAAAGGCAAATGTCTTATTATGATTATGAAAGTAGTTTGCACCTTGCGAATCTCATGAGTGGATCTTGCTACTGTCTCTGAAACCGAATCTTTGTCATGTCACTCCCCTGCTCAGAAGATTCCAATCGTTCATCATTGCCCACAGGGAATTTTGCAAAATCAAAGTTTTCAACCTGGAATTTAAAATTCACACAATCTTACCTTAATGTATCTTTTCATTCCTCATGTTCCTTCATGCACTCTGGCTCTAGACAAATGAAGCTATTTCTATTCCTATTATAAACCCGGGGAGTTTGCAGTTTCTTTCAACTACTTACACTGTTCTCTTTGCCTGAGTACCTTATCTTTTCTCACACTCTTTATATGAAGCCACTGTCTTGCTTCAAGGTCCAGTTCAAATGAGGTCTAGCTGGATATCATACATCCTTCTTCGGAATGCACATAGCACTTTGGACCCCTCCTATGCTACTAATTTTCTACCCTGTAATAACAGTTCTTGGGCCCTGCGCCTAGCAGGATGATTTACATACAGTTGGTACCAAATAAATCCTTAAGAAACAAATGTTTGGTTGCATTGAGTCATTTGTTTACATGTTTCCCTGCAGTTACCACATGAGATTGTTGGTTGAAATTAGGGTTAATATCTTTGTTTCCTGAATAAACTATTTCTTGTTGTGAAAGTGATTACTGTACAAGGCAGTTCAACTCACCACCTTGATCTCATTAGCCAATCTGTTCTCCTTCACATCCTCAGACTTGTATAAAGATCTGCCAACTGAAAGCACTGCTAAAACACTTTGAATTGTGTAAAACAGTATTGATTTTTTTAAGTTACGTTTGAAAGTTTACTGAGACAAAATTAACATTTAGTTGTTTTTGTTGACCATCCAAGTAAATTACTCAGAACAAAAGAATGACCCCCTATATATGCCAACTCATTTTCTTTCTGGTTTCAAACAACTATTTTAGGGACCATAAGGAAGTAGCATAGTTTGATTAGGAGTTTCCCATGCCTAAATTACTTTCTGTGGATGATTATTTAGCACGAGGAAGCTAAATATACTGCCTATAATGGCATTAGAGACTAAAGCTTGTCTTTGAGGGAGTCTCAGGGAGCTCATTTCTTTTTACAGAAGACCCCCCCAAAAAAGCAAAACAAAACAAAACAAAACCCTTTAGAATATAAAAACAAAATGAAGTTTCTCTATTGGTCTGTCTAAATTGGGATGCAATTTCACATATCTTGTCTTCCTTACACATTGCTCTGTCCAGCCAAATCTGCTCCACACCAGCTCTTTCTAGACACTAAACAGCCTCTTTCCTACTATACCAGCTTGCCTCCAGGATAACTTGTTTGGGACAATTTCCCTTGCTTGCTGCTTATGAATCTAGAGCTTCAGCTTCCTTTATCTGCCCACTTGACTTAGTCGAAAAGCCAGATCAAGTGTTTTCTCTCTCTCTCTACCTCCATGGTAGTTGTACATTGTAACAATAGTCTTGCCCCTCAAGTTCCATTCACTTTTGACTCCCATTCAGGCCGCAGACTTTAAGTGTATATTTCAATAACTTCTCATTCAGAGGAAGAAAAGAAAAGGTGAAATCCTGCTTTTCTTAGATACCTCTCCTGTATAAATATTAATTTTCCATTTACTAAAAGATGCTGACTTCTCTTTTTTTTAAGATTTTATTTATTTGACAGAGAGAGACACAGCGAGAGAGGGAACACAAGCAGGGGGAGTGGGAGAGGGAGAAGCAGGCTTCCTGCTGAACAGGGAACCCGACGCGTGCGGGCCTCGATCCCAGGACCCTGAGAGCATGACCTCAGCCGAAGGCAGACACCTAATGACTGAGCCACCCAGGCGCCCTTAGATGTTGACTTCTTATCACAAAATATGTTAGCTAATTCTATCCTGAATTCACTGATAGTATGTGCAAGAGTTTCCTCCTCCACAAACTGTTCCACATGGATTTTTCTTTGTACTCTGATTTTCTCTGAATAGCTGACATTTCTATTTAAAATATCGGTTTGTTCATTTTGGGATTTGGAACATAGAGGCAGATGCTGTTAACTAAAATAGTTAATGATGAAATCAAGACAGATAACAGCCTTGGTACTTTCCCTCACAGATATTGTAGTTCAGGTCTTTTCCTAACCAGTAACAATTTCAGTTTTTGTTGAAAGAGCCCTGAATAATTTGAGAGAAGGTGAGGGGCTATCTAATGGAGTGGAACCAAAATGAATTGTTGAACTAATCCAGGAGCTGCCCATTCCAAGGAAAGAATGTATATGCATGTCCTTTGAAGTTTCTATATGCCATGTCATGCTTTTTATTAACCTATTACATTTTCTTACATTATTTGATGAGTATTCCATGTGAATAAACTTCAGTAGACTTTGATGAGGTGGAATCGTGCAATGCATAACTCAAACTATTGAGTTAAGATGACCCTCTTCATCCCACCCTATGTGAAATGTACAAGCTTTTTAAAAAAATTTGATTTCTTTGAATGCCCTTTTATGCTATAAATATTTTTATTATGTTTTACCTAGTTGGGTACACAATGAATGATCTCATTTTTGAATGGCAAGATGAGGCACCTGTACAAGTGGCCGAAGGACTCACTTTGCCCCAGTTTCTGCTGAAAGAAGAGAAAGATTTACGGTACTGCACTAAACATTACAACACAGGTGGGGGTCAAGCATTCTTTATTACACTTATGACTTCTGTTTTTATAATATTCAGTGTTTCTTAATTATAGTGGTAGGTTAATTATTTTAACTATTTATAGCTTAGTGTTTTTTATAGTCATAGAGCAGAAAATGAATGCATATGAAATTTATGAATACCTGGACTCAATGCATATTGTGATATAATTGATTTGTATAGGATCAAAGAAATGCTTGGTATTCAATTACATTTTTTTTTGCCAAAAGCCCATAGTTACATACTAATGATGCTTCCAAAAAAGTTCCTTTAATTTCTATGTGAGCAATAAAATGTACTTTTTAGCTCTTCTTGGGCAATATACATTGTGCTTGATAACAAAATCAAAGAAATTGCTTTTTTTTAAGGCTTCATTTGCCTAAACCTCTCTTTGGCTACAATTTCATGCATTTCAAGTTATTGTTATTTAAGTACCTACTACTCACACCGACACGGTAGCTTTTGCCTTTGAGACTAGATATAAGATATTGTTGTCAAGGACTGATAGACTTAACGTGATATTTGCACATTCATGGGATCTGTTCACTTCTCTCAACCAGCACAGGCTATTCTCATAATATCTATTCTGACTGACTAAACTGTTCCTACAAATTCTGTTAAACCACCCACAAATGAGTCATCACTTCAATGTGGTTAGTCCACAGCCTCCCACTAGCATCAACTGCTGCTCGTATTATTTCCTTACAGTAACTATGATTCCTCTTTGGCTCATCATTTTCCAGGACTGTGACCTGACCTTTCACTATGCCAAGTCTTTAATCTCTTTTACCTCTTTAATCATTTCACACTATCTGGTGAAAAAGTCACTGCCATTTTCTTAACCCAGAGGTGAGGTTGATATTTAATTTGATGGGTAGTTCAAGGTTAACATCTCAACACAAAGATAAAGGGCAAGCAGGTCAATACCAATGTCCTTGCTCCACTCTCTAGAGGCAGTTACAATGACAAGAAATTTTAGAGAGATGCTAAGAGGCCTCTAGAAGTGGTTTAAGTTGGTGGACTGGCTTCCTAGGGCTGCTGCAGCAAAGTACCACAGACTTGGTGGTATCCCTTGCCCATCTCCCCGAGACACTCTTCTCCCTCGTCCCCTTACCCTGTAATTTGGCCGCAGTGGTTGGTTTTCTTACATATGCCACACTGATTCCTGCTTCAGGGCCTTTGTACTTGTTCATCTTGTAACTAAAGATTTTTTTTTTTAAGATTTTATTTATTTGACAGAGAGAGAGACACAGTGAGAGAGGGAACACAAGCAGGGGGAGTGGGAGAGGGAGAAGCAGGCTTCCCACGGAGCAGGGAGCCCGATGCGGGGCTCGATCCCAGGACCCTGGGATCATGACCTGAGCTGAAGGCAGATGCTTAACAACTGAGCCACCCAGCCACCCTAAAGAATTTTTTAAAACAACTCTATTGAGATTTAATTTAGGTACTATAAAATTCACTTGTTTAAGGAATACAGCTCAATGATTTTTAGTATATTTACAGAGGTGTGCAAAAACCACCACCATATTTTATCTCCTGAATAAAAAAAAAAAAATAGCTTTATATCCATTAGCAGTCTCCCCATCCAGCAACTCCAGACAATCACTAATCAACTTTCTGTCTCTATAGCTTTATATTTTTGGGATGCTTTATATAAATGGAATCACATGTGGTCTTTGTGATAGTCTTCTTTCAACGAGAAGAATGTTTTTGAGATTCCTCCCTCTGGTAGCATATTTCGATACTTCGTTCCTTTTATTGCCAAATAGTACTCTATTGTATGGATATACCTCATTTTGTTTATTCATTCGTCAGTTGCTAGACATTTGGGGTATTTCCAACTTTGGACCACTTATGAACGCTCACGTGCAAGTTTTGGGGTGGATATATGTCATATCTCTTGGGTATAGAATTAGGAGTGGAAAGCTGGATCATATGGTGTATCTATGCCACCAAACTATTTTTCAAAGTAACCACACCTTCTTACAGTCCTTCCAGCAGTGAATGAGGATTCCAGCTTCTCCACATCCTAACCAACCCTTGTCTTTGTCCGTCTTCTTTAATATGGCCATTTTAGGGAGTGAAGTACTATCTCATTGTGGTTTTGATTTGCATTTCCCTAATGCGTAAAGATGAGCATCTTTTCATGTGCTTATTGATATTTGCCTATCTTCTTTGTTGTTGTTATTGTTTTTAAAGATTTTATTTATTTATTCGACAGAGAGAGAGAGAGACAGCGAGAGAGGGAACACAAGCAGGGGGAGTGGGAGAGGGAGAAGCAGGCTTCCCGCGGAGCGGGGAGCCCGATGCAGGACTCGATCCCACGACCCTGGGATCATGACCTGAGCTGAAGGCAGCCGATTAACGCCTGAGCTACCCAGGCGCCCCTGCCTATCTTCTTTGGAAAAAGATGTTTATTCGATTCCCTTGCCCATTTTCTAAGTCAGTTATTTCTCTTATTGTTGATTTACATATGCTTTTCCGCAGTTGGTATGTTGTCTTTTCACTTTCTTAATGATGTTAATTGAAGCACAAAAACTTTTAATTTTGAGTAAGCCCAACTGATCACTTTTTTTTTCTTTTGTTACTTGTGATTTTGGTATCATATTTAAAAAAATTGTTGCCTAACCTAAGGTCATAGAGATGTACTCCTATGCCTTCTAAGAATTTTTAGTTTAGCATTTAAATGTAGGTCTATGATCCATTTTCAATAGTATGAGATAGGGTAGAAGTTCATTCTTTTGCATGTGAATACCAAGTTTGCCCTGTACCATCAATTGAGGAGACCATTATTTCCTTATAGAATAGCCTTAGTTCTTTGTTGAAAATCAGCTGACCATAAATCATTATTTCTGGACTTCCAATTCCATTCCACTGATCTGCATATCTATACTTTACGACATTATCCTATTTTGTTGTTATTTATAGCAAGTCTTGAAATGGGGAAATGTGAGTCCACCAAATTTGTTCATTTTACCCTGAAGGCTATATTGGTTATTCTAGGTCTCCTGAATTTCCATAATAATTTTAGGATTAGCTTGTACATTTCTGCATGAAAGCCAGTTGAAATTTTGATAGAGATTGCAATGAATTTGTAGAGCAACATGGGAAGTATTCTGATCTAGCCATATTTAGTCTTCTAATTAATGACTACAGAATGATTTTCCATTTTGTTCCAATTTTTTAATTTTGTTCAGCTGTGTTTTGTATTTTTTTGTGTAGAAGCCTTACACTTCTTTTGTTAAATTTATTTATAAGGATTTTATTTTATTTGGTTCTATCATAAATGGAATTGTTTGCTCAATTATTTTGATTATTGCTAGTGTATAGAAACACGGTTGATTTTTGTATACCGATAGTGTATCCTATAACTTTGCTGAACCCAGCAGTTCAACTAGATTTTTAGTGAATTCTCTAGGATTTTCTTTATGCAAGGTAATATCTTCTCCTTATAGAGATAGTTTGGCTACTTCCTTCTCAATCTAAATACCTTTTCCTTAATTGTTGCCCTAATTATGCTGGCTGGAACCTCTCAGTACAATGTTTAATGGATGTGGCAAGAGAAAACATTCTTGCCTTGTTCCAGAATTTAGTAAGAGAGCATTCAGCTTTTCACCATTAAGTATGGTATCAGCTATAAGTTCTTCATAAATGCCCTTTATCAAGTTGAGGAAATTATCTTCTGTTTCTAGTTTGTTGAGTGTGTTTGTTATGAAAGACTATTGGATTTTTGACAGTTTTACTTCTATTGAGATGATCATATAATTTTTGTTTTTGTTCTATTTATATAGTGTGTTACATTGACTTGTATTACATTAAGCCAAACTGGCTTGCATTCCATGATAAATTCTGGTTGGTTATGATGTATAACTCTTTCCATATGTTGCTGGATTCAGTTTGCTAGTATTTTTCTGGGGATTTTATGTTTATATTCACAAGAGACATTGTCTATATACTTTTTTTCCTGTGATGTCTTTGTCTGGTTTTACTATCAGGGTAATACTGAGCTAATTGAATGAGTTAGGAATTATTCCTTGCTGTCTAGTTCCTGGAAGATTTTAGAAGATGGATTGTTATTAATTCTTTTTTAGATGTTTAACAGAGGTTTTCCCTCGTGCGAAGTTTTCCCTCGTGCGAAGTTTTAAGATTACTAATTTAACCTCTTTACTTTTTATAAGTCTATTCAGATTTTCTATTTCTTCTTGAATGAGTTTCAGTAATGTGTGTCATTCTATATATTTGTCCATTTCATCTAAGACATTCCACTTGTTGGTATACAGTTATTCATAATACTTCTTTATTATCCTTTAATTTCTCCAAATAGTAATGTCCCCTCTTTCATACCTGATTTTAATAATTTGATTCTCCTTTCTTTTTTGCATCATCCATCTGAGCCAGGATACTTCTTTCTTAAAGGTTTTATTTATTTATTTTAGGGAGAGGCACAGAGAAAGAGAGCACACAAGCGGGGGGGGGGGGAGGGACAGGGAAAGAGAGGGAGAGAATCTCAAGGAGACTCTGTGCTGAGCTGGGACTGGACTTGGGGCTGGATCTCATGACCCTGAGATCATGACCTGAGCCAAAACCGAGAGTCCGAAGCTTGACCAACAGAGCCACCCAGGCGCCCCACAGCCAGGATACTTTTAATTGCAAATCGTGGACAACCAAAAATAAGTAGCTCAAATGCTATAAAATTGTCATCTGGTCCCCATTTTCATATTGGATTATTTGTCCTTTTATCAGTGAATTGTAATATGGTTTATATTGTCTCTGGTATTTTTTTTTTGAAGGAGAATTGAGACTAGAATGCAGATTTTTTTAATTTGTAACTAGAATATGAATCAATAAATCAAAATAAATTGTGAATCACCTGAAAGAAATAAACTTTAAGTCTGAAGAGTAAAATATATAATTAAATAAATTAAAATAAAGTAAAATGACAGTTAAAATATAAACGTGCTTGAAGAAGTTCCAGTCTTGTTGTACCTGTGTTACCATGTCAGAACTTGTGTCACTTGCTCATTTTTCTCTCTAGAGCCACACATACACATGTGCTATATATTTATGTATAATATACATAGTATATACAATATATCATTATTTTTCCTCCCAGTGATAGTTATGAAAACACTCTTTATAAGGCACAAGAAGAATTTTTTTTTTTTTGAGAATTGCATGAACCTTACAGAATGTAGTCAAAGTGCCCAAAAGGTTAGTAATTATTACTAATTTCATCATGAGATTGCTTGGATAATTTATTTTTTTATTTTTTTGAAGATTTACGTATTTATTTATATGAGAGAGAGCACACACACACATGCCCATGAGCCAGCTACAGGGGGAGGTTGGAGGGGGTGTAGGGGTAGAGCGAGAGGCAGTGAGACTCTTAAGCAGACTCCACTCTGAGTGCAGAACCTGATGGAGGGGGGCTTAATCCCATCCATCTTCTAAAATCATGACCCTGAGGGCATGACCTGAGCTGAAACCAAGACTTGGATGCTCAACCGACTGTGCCACCCAGGTGTGCTGGGAATAGCCAGCAATCCCTGGACCGATGGATGAAAGATTACTCCAGACTTTTCTGTGAAAGAGAGGAGAAGGCAAGGGGGGGTCAACGTTCAGAGACAAAGACCCTTTGCTCTTCTTTGCTCCCACTTTTATTGGTCCTTCAGGATAATCATAAATCTTTATCACCGTTTCTCAAGCATGTGAAGTGTGACAAGGGGTCTTACTGGAACTAGGAAGATCTGTTGATGGGAAAGATACGATATGCTAATCTGCGTGTTCAACAAGTTCTGCTAAACATAGCCTAAGGGACAATGCATACATCTCTTAGATCACAGGGCGGCTGTTTGGTCTAAGAAAGCTTCAGGAAAAGCCACTCCCCACTACATTCCTATGGCAAAGTGGTCACGCAGGCCTCGGCATTCCAAAGGCCTACGCCCTTCTCCGAAACCTTCCCTTGCCCTCAGTGGCCTCCGTGTTACCTTTTAGCAAGCCAGGTATTAGGAATGATTTCATGCTCTATATTAACCCCAACACAGGTGCCTGAGATTACTTGGGTAATTTAACAGTGATATCATGAAAATAGTTCAGTTATTCTTGCCCTATTTCATTTCATTATTTAAAAAATTTTGTATTTTAATAGAATCTTAAAAATCTAAAGTATATTCATATATTTTAAGAATTTTTAGGCATTCTGTATGTAGTTGATAAATTGATAAAAGGATCATAGATAGCTTGCACGTATGTTTCTGATCCCTAAACACTGAAGAGTAGAATCCAACTTCCCCAGAGTTTCTGAAACTTTGTTAGGAATTTTAAACCCTGGAATCTCATCCATCCCTTTATCCAGTGACTGTGCCCATGAATCACAGGAGCAGGTGGCTCAAGCCACAAGTCTGGAAGTTTTGCACTGAAACCTATCTAAAAATACAGTAGCAAGTTTCCTGGATGTGCTCTTTGATTCTCTTTCACAATTGGATCAGAGAATGTCACCTAAAAAAAAAGATCAGCATGTTAATTCACTGACCTTATTTTTCCTAACATAGTTAGAATAAGGAGAGAATAAAACCAAGATTTTGGTTGTTCAGATAAACAATTATTTTAAGGAGAAATACCATGGTCATGGTAGTAGGGAGTATAACCAGAGGATAAGCAGAGATATCAACAAAATGGTTAATTAAGACATAATTTATTCCTCTATTAATTACTTACCATAATAGAGACACAGGGCATGAATATATAGAACACATATATCTCAGGTTTTTTATTAGTAAGTGCGTTTTTAAATTATGTTCAAATTTATTGATAGAGAATAACATATTTTGCTCTTTTCTGCATTAATAGTTTCCAAATTATTAATGCATAAATTAACTTACATAAATTACGTTTAAGGAATTACTCATCTTCAGCTGAATTTATCCTTTAGCACTTACTTTAAAGCAAATGTAAAGGCCTCTGAAACAAATAACACCAGGCTCTCAGTAAGTGCTAAAAAGTACCGGACAGAATCAATGAGTAAGGAAGGTCTTTATATAGTAGATAGGCATTTCTCCTGTCTGTCTCAGAAACAGTTGCTGGAATCAAGTGAAATGATATATCTTTGAGTACTTTCAAAGTATGAAATGCTAACCAAATGTGAAGTAATAAATTTTTGTTTTAATTAATTTATTTGTCAGAAAGAGAAAGAGAGAGAGGGAACACAAGCAGGGGGAGTGGGAGAGGGAAAAGCAGACTCCCCGCCGAGCAGGGAGCCCAATGCGGGGCTCGGTCCCAGGACCCTGGGTTCATGACCTGAGCTGAAGGCAGAGCCTTAACCGACTGAGCCACCCAGGCGTCCCCAAATGTGAAGTAATAAGATGACATACTATTTCCTGGAAAGCGTACTCTCGTGTTGCTTCCAGATGCCAGCAGAAAAATAGGAAAAATATTTTTCAGAAACCATTTTGTATATGTGATTTAGGATCCCTTTACATTGTAATGGAAAATTTTAGAACAAAATATGGGGGGGGAAATGTGACAATTGATGTCATCACAAAGACCTATTTTTACCAATTGCTGCATTTATTTTACAACCAATTAGGAAAATTTACGTGTATAGAAGTGCGATTCCATCTTGAACGACAAATGGGATACTACCTGATCCAGATGTACATTCCCAGTCTCCTGATCGTTATTCTATCCTGGGTTTCATTCTGGATCAATATGGATGCTGCACCAGCAAGGGTAGCCTTGGGAATAACTACTGTCCTGACTATGACCACACAGAGCTCAGGATCACGAGCTTCCTTACCAAAGGTAAGTGCACTAAAGGGACATGCACATATATTTGCAAAAATATTTATAGATATATAATATTTTTACAGAGAAAATTCACATATATGTAATTATCAACTTTTGTCATATTGTATGGATGCACTATAGTAATATAGTTACTATTAGGACTAACACAATCACGAACATTTATATGATGAATGTTATTTATATTCATGAATATATATGTGTGTGTGTATAGCTTTACATATATTTTTCATTTTTTCCTTAGTATCAATTCTTAGAACTGGAGTCACTACACTGATGGCTGCATGTATTGATATGTACTGCCAAATATCCCTCCAGAAAAATTTACAGCAGTTACACTCCCACAAGTATTGTATGAGGGTGTCCATAGTACTGTATATAGCACTTATTATTTTTGTGTTTGTTTTTCTTCCCCCTTTTGGCTTTTAAGTTGCCATAGGTCAATAAAAAGGAAAAGTTATCTAATATCATGATTTTAGTCCATGCGGATCTGCCAGAATTAAAATAAACTATTCTCCTATGAGGTTTGTAAAAAGCCCCGATATTTCTTTTTACAACATATGCTGAAATAAAACATAGGAAACTCTTTTAATCCATTTAGCAAATAGCAATAGAAAATTATTTTCCTCTCCTAAATGACTTCTAAAAAAAATTTCTACTATCCAAATTAAGTAATCCTGTCTAGCTTCCAACAAACTTCACTACTACTTTCATTACAATGATGTAGATATAGTAAAATTATATTAACTTTTCTTGTGCATTTGATGCTATCTACCTGTAATGCCAAGCAAATTATAAGTCTATTATCATGGCTTCCCTAACTCTTACCATGAATTGCATTGTATGATCCAATTTATTAGATTAAAATACCTAAATAAATAAAAGTTGATGGCAGGACATTTTATCCCTAAAAAAGTTACTTCAAATAGGAAGACTTGATCTTTAACGATGCTCACACTGCCTAGATAAAATTTAATGGCTGTCTTACAAAATAAGGTCTACTTTTATTAATACTTAATTGAATTTTCAAAATGATCCATATCAACTAGTGTTTTATAAAATATTGTTCAAGTGAAAATTACAGATCTGCTTATAAGATTAAACTAATAAGTCTCAATGCCTATTTATATATGTATAAATGTCTCAAGGACTCTCAGTAATAGTTGAAGTCCCATAGTCAATTTGTAAAGGAAATTGCCAGTTTACTCATTGATTTTCCTCAAATGCTAAACAGAAATGAAAGTTCATTCTTCTGTAAGTTGTCAACAAAAGAAGAGAACAAAATGCTCCATTTCGGAAAGCTACAGCTCCTATGAGACACAGTATAAAGACATTTGAATACAAACATTAAGGCAGAATTGGGAGAGCATGGAGGTCAAAGTGGAGGAAGCAGAAATAAAGAAAGCAACAAATTAAAGAAAAAAAAAAAACAAGATGAAGACACAAGTTTTTGTTTTTGTTTTTGGTTTTTGTTTTTTAAAGGAAAGAAAATCATTTTCTTAAGACATAGGAAAAATTTTTTAAAAATCTTTAATTTCACTGTGATCTCAGGGAAGGAATAAATTTTCAACCATGAGCTCAATTATATACATAAATGCACACAAAACCTCTACATCTCTCAGATCGTAGAGACAATGACCTCTGGAAATGTGATAAGAGATTTATTTCCGACCCACAAAAATAACTGATTAACAAAATAGTATCTTAAGAGAGAGTGACAATATCATTTTAGGTTTTTTTTAAAGATTTTTTATTTATTCATTTGAGAGAGAGAGAAAGAGAGAGAGACAGAGACAGAGACATCATAAGCAGGGGGAGAGGCAGAGAGAGAGGGAGAAGTAAACTCCGCACTGAGCTGGGAGACCAATGTGGGACTCGATCCCAGGACCTGGAGATCACGACCTGAGCCAGAGGCAGATGCTTAATCATCCGAGTCAGGTTTTGTGTTAGTTAGGGAATGGGAGGTTGAGCATGTTCAGCTACCTACGTTAGAATTCGGGAAGGTGGACACTGAAGACCCAGGATAAACAACAAGAATTAATTTATTGGAAAGGATAATTCCAAAAGGTAGAAAATCTCTTGAAAAATGCAATTCTGATTCTGTGATTTGGGGGGGCTAGAAAGGCAAGAGGCGAGGACCCACACTTGCCTTTGGGAACAGATGGCTAAATCACACACCTTAAGACCTGATATATTCTCAACCTCACAAAGGAACCCTTGGATGCCTAAAAGTCTTGCCACTGAAATATCCACCATTCTCTTACTGACAAAATCTAAGAAGTAGGAAAACAAAATTAAATTCAGGAAACCAATAGAGGATTATCAGACAGAGAAGGAAGAAACAATAAAGCATTAATTTAATATAATTGCTTAGTATTTTGTCTAGGCTGTGTGCCAATACATCTCCTGCAGGATACAAAGGGGTTTGGAAATCAGTCAAGTAAGACTCAAGGTAGACAATCTCAAAGGTGCTTAGCCAGCACCTTGAGAACTACAGAGCTCGGATTCCTCTCTGATATTTCTTGTTGCATTGTCCTCTACAGTGTCATAATAAATCAAGCAGGTAATGGCCCAAAGCAAGAAGATTCCTTGATTCATTTCTTGGAATATGGAGCTATTTGGTGTTTCTGTGGTGCCTGCATTAGGTGACCAGAAGGGGGTGACAAGACATTCTATTGCCAGCAATTTTTCTAAGTTGTATAATGTTAGAGACACCCCCTAACACTGTGCTTGGAGAAGAATGAGTGAGAAAAAATGGTGATGATCATGGAGCCATGTCAGTGGAGGGTTTTTATAAACCTTGATAAAGATCAGGTTTATTTTGAGTGGATTTTGGAAGGATTTTAATGAGAAGAGTAATCATTCTGACTTTTATTTGAAGATCAGATAGAAGGTGGGCGTGGGGGATGTGGAAGCATAGAAACTGCCAAGCAAACTATTGTAGTCTAGAGCAGATGATGGTCTGGCTAGATTCGTAGCAGTAAAGGTGGAGAGTAGGAGATGGATTTAGAAAGAGGTGGGTGTTTTAAAGAAAATGCATTTGGAAGTGAAAAAGACAGGATTTGCTCATGAACTGGACCTTGAGGAGTAAGAGAAAAGCAGGAGTCGATGGCAGCATTCAGGTAACCGGGCAAGTAGTGGTAATAGTTAACTAATGAGGAAGATTGGGGGAGGTAACTAACCTATGGTTGAACATGTTAACTTTGAGATGTTTATAAGACAGCCACATGGGATTGTCAAAAAGTCAGAACCTGGGGCGCCTGGGTGGCTCAGTCGCTTAAGTGGCTGCCTTCGGCTTAGGTTATGAGCCCAGGGTCCTGGGATCGAACCCCGCATCGGGCTCCCTGCCAGCGAGAGCCTGCTTCTCCCTCTCCCTCTGTCTGCCGCTCTGCCTACTTGTGCTCTCTCTGTCTCTCTGTCAAATAAATAAATAAAATCCTAAAAAAAAAAAGTCAAAACTTCCAAAGTTCTGACAGGGGACACTCAGGCCTCAGATTTCAGGGATAAAACTATAGATGGATAAGGAAGCAGAACAGAGATGATTTTTCTGAGAACGAAAGAAAGCCGAGAAAGAAGGGAAAAGAAGATGTTATCTGTGGTTGGCCCTCCTCCTCCAGTTGGAAATGGACCTGAATATTCAAAGTCTTCTCTCTCCTTCCTTTTCCCACAGCCATCTCCCACACCACCCCCCCCCCCACAGAATAGGTTAGACAGTTGAATTAAAGGCAAGACCCATTCACTTTAAACCTTTACTCTAAACTCTTGAGATCTCAACATTCTGTGATTTTTATTTTTATTTTTTTTAGATATGGAAAAGCAATCCTCCCTGGGAGACTTAGGTTTAATCAGGGGTGAAAGAGAGGATAATAATAGTCATTTAATAATTTTTGACTATACATTTGATTTATACTAATACCTAGTTAAAAATCTTGACATTGAGAGAATTATATTTTTTATTAAGTATAGAAATGGGTCAGAATACTGAAAATCAGTAGAAGGAATAAAATGTAATTTTAATTTGAAAGCTATGGGTTCTAGCAAGGCTCCACACTAAGGAACTCTGGGAAGATCTCAGTTATGCAGCATTATGATATATACTTTACCTTTCCTTTCCCAAAGAGCAGTTATTTCTTATTGGAGACCTACTCTGTTCGTTCTCTTTCACAGGGATCAGCTAAGGTGCAGCTTTTTGTTTTTTAAGGTCCAGCTTTTTACATGTTTTTTTGTTTCATATCATCTGCTGAAGTACACAAATATCACCATGTGCACACTAGTTTAGTCTTTTAAAAATGAGTTTCAGATCTATTGTCATACCAGAGATCTTAGAACATAATATATTACACAGACATATGTGTGTGCACACCCCCCCCACACACCCAGACACAAGCTTGGCAGGGGCCAGAGAATCTCTAGATTCCAAGGTCTCCAAACCCTAGCTCTTTTTCTTGTTGTTGTTAAGATTGATTGGTTGATTGACTGATTGACTGATTGATTTGAGAGAAAGAGCAGGTGTGCACCTGAGCTGGGGGCCGGGGGTGGGGTGGGAAGGGGAGCAGAGGCAGGGGGACAAGCAGACGCCATGCTGAGCACGGAGCCCGATGTGGGTCTCAATCTTACAACCCTGCGATCATGACCTGAGCTGCAACCAAGAGTCAGGTGCTTAGTGGACTGAGCCACCCAGGTGCCCCCAAACCCTAGGTCTTAACACAATAGAGTCTCGGGGCCCAGGATTGTTTCAGCATAGTTAGGTTGCACTTATTCTGCATAGCAAATAATCCCAAGTCTCAATGGTTTACCACATTTATTTTTGCTCACAGACCTGTGAGTTGCCTGACTCTTCCAGGTTTGTCTGAGACTGGCTGATTTGGACGGGCTTAGATCTAGGCTGTGGAGTAGGAGCACATCTGTTCTCCGTGTCTCCCACTGTGGAACTGTAGGTACAGTAGCATACTCTTTTCATGGAGGAGTGCAGGAAAATAGGAAGGCAAACAGACGCA